CAGCCCAGGCTGCTCCAAGCCCCATCCAACCTGCCCTTCAACACCCCCAGGGATGGGGCAGCCACAGCTTCCCTGGGCAACCTGGGCCAGGCTCTCCCCACCCTCACAGCCCAGAATTTCTCCCTCCCATCTCAGCTCCAGCTCCCTCCTCCAGTTTTAATTCATTACCCCTTGTCCTCTCACTACAAGCCCTTGTCCCAAGCCCCTCCTGGGGGACTTTCCTGGAGCCCCTTCAGGTTTTCCTCAGCTGATACTTAGAAAGCACATAAAGAAAGGGAAGTGCATTTCCTCGGGGGAAAAAAAGTTGTTTTGTCTTTGATGGTGACAAGTATCAACAGAAATATCATCAGGAGCCCTCAGAGCTCCTCAGATGGGGACACAGGTGCCTCCTGTCACCTCCAGGTGAGTCACAACACGGTGCAGCTGCAGGGATGCAGGTTTGAGGGCTGCCCACCAGTGTCCAGAGCTATCTTCCAAATGGGAGAAATTATCAAAAAAAGGAAAATTATCCAAAAAAAGAGCAGGTGTGAGAGTCTGTCTGGAGGCAGAAGCAGTTGTTTTCATAAACAGGGAAAGGGGCAGGGATGAGTGGGCAATGGTGTGAGCAGAAGCATGGCTGAAAGCCCTGAGGGAACCAGGGGTGTGACAGGTGAGGGTGTTGCTCACATGGGGTTGTTCTTCATTCTTCCTGGGGAGCATCCAGGGCAGGCAGTGAACTTGTGATTTGTGTTAGAAAAGGTGAGATGGTGGTGGGGGTGGTCAGAGGTGTGGAACATGTCACAGGGGGAGAACTGAGAGACTTTGGTCCACTTGGTGGAGTCAAGACAAGGCATGAGCCTCATCCTACAAGGAAGAGGGATTTAAAGGAAGTGAGAAGCACCCTCTTGATGTCCATGGTGGGTGGAAGTTGCAGCAGGATCTCACACTGCTTCAGGGGAGGCCAAAGAAGGGAAACATCCCAACACAGCAGCTTTGTTGTGACAGAACAATGAACCCAGCACATGGTTTCCTAGGAAAAATCTGATCATTTTCCTTGGAAGAAGTGAAGAGCAGCTCAGAGAAGCATCTCTCCAGGACTTGGAGGAGTCTGATCCTGCTTTGAGATCATGGAATCACAGAATGGTGAAGGTTGAAAGGGACCTTAAAGGTCATCAGGTTCCAACCTCCCTGCCATGAGCAGGGACACTTGGGCGGAGACGATTTCTCCCAGTTCATCAGTTTTCTGTGATTTCAGTGCTTTTTAGCCCGTGTTCCCAGGCAGCCCCATTTCATGGGCACCTTTGGGCACCTTGGTAACAGCCTGTTCTGCTTCCACTGCTCAGGCCTTCTCTGAGTACCAGATCCAGCAGATGACAGCCAACTTTGTGGATCAGTTCGGCTTCAACGACGAGGAGTTTGCAGACCAGGATGATAATATCAAGTAAGTTTATTAGGCTTCAAGAGGTTTTATGTGCAGCATTTCAGCCTCTTGGCATCTGATCTTTCTTCTTTCTGGTCCAGGTTTTAAAACGAAGCTCCCTCCTTTGGTTTGAAACAAACAGAAAGCTGATCAGGGCTTGGAAAACAGATGAGTTTCTTTTCATAAGAGCCCAGCCCTGATCTCCAAAGGCAGTTGTAGAGCCAAGGGAAAGTGCTGCTTCATTTTGAAGGAAACCAGTTTTTACTAAAGCACACAGTGACTACCCAGCCATGTTCTGGAGTCAATGGCACGAGGCAAAGCACTGGAGCCAAGTGCAGGCAATTACACAGATGTTCTCCAGTGGCATTAAGTCCTTATTGAAATTAGGATTAGAAAGAATAGTGTTCTGATGAAGTCCACAGAAAATGCTGCCATTTCCTCTCATGGGAATAAGGAAACAGATAAAGCAGGAGCAAATAATAGTTCAAAGGAGCAGCTAGAGGTGGATTTAATGCTCTATGACTTTGGATTCAGTGTTCAGAAGTGATGCTGCTTTCATAGAGGGGCTGCTGCAGCTCATCTCACCTTAAACTGTAGCTAACTGTAATTATCCCACTTGTCCATAATGGTGCAGAAATGGTAACAATTTAGTGTTTATTCACTGACAGGAGAGTTTTCCAGGAGGGCACCCAGGGTATTTCCTGCTCATCCATTCTGCCTGTTCACTTTCATCTTGTGGCAACTTTGGTCTCAATCAAAGTGTAATAACTTGTCATCCAAGGTGACAGGGAGAGTAGGTGGCAGGACCTGCTGGGGCTGGTGCTCATGGGCCAGGAAATGTTGGGTTTGTTCTGCAAACAGCTGCAGGGCCCTGGAATCCTGACAGAAACTGGAAGCTCTGAGCCCATGGTCTGTGGCTCCCACTGGCTGCTCCACATCTCAGGAGTGGAAGGTGCTTTTGCTGGGCCTGCTCACACCCTGTGCTTTGCAACTGCTGAGCTCCCTGAAATACCTTCAGTGAAATGACAAGGTGGAAATAGTTTGGCTGCTTCAGAGTTGCTTTCAAGCATGGATCAAAACAGAGCAATAAGAGCATAAGATCCTGAGAGTCTTAGGATCTCTGCAGCCAGACAGTTGGGAGCTGTTCTAACATGGAGAAAGATTCTGGAGCCCAGCTTTCCCATATATTTTTTTCCCTGAGCATTTTAGCTGTCCAGAACTTTAATAAGGCCAGAAAATCCCAGACTAAAATCAAAGTTTGATTGAACATGGATTGCTTAGTTCTGCACATGTTTAAAAATCAAACTGCAATTTGAACTTGTTAGTGGGTAGCAGCAAACACTGGACGTGTGGGTGTTCAGGTGGAAGGGAAGAGGCAGCTCGTGTGAGGAGCTTGAAAATTAACATGAAACTGAACAAAACCTGAGAGATGTTCTCCCCTCCTCTGGATTGGTCATTGCAAAAGAAGAATTGACCATAATATTATTGGTTTTTATTATAACATTGTTCTGGTCTTGAATCTTCTGAGAATGCTGCTCCCTGTCATCTGCTTCCCAGCTGCTGGGAACTCTTGCAGACAGGAATTTTAGCACTTCAAGAAGTATTAATGATGATTCAGCTTCCTGGTGATTTGCATGACAGAACAGTTGTCTTTACATTTCCAAAGTGTTATTTTCCTTGAAAGATGGGGTGAAAAATGTCCTGTGAGACTTGAAAGGTGCTGGGAGGTTGGAGTTTGCTGGTCTGTAGCACCCTCTGCTGTTCTGACATCAAACGCTCTTAGGTCCAAACTAGAAATTAGGTCATTTAATGATTTTTGCAGCTTTCATGTCTTTGTAATGCAGGGGGTTGTTGAACCCCTGGTGCCCCGAGATTCCCTGAGGTAACAGGGGTTATTCCAGTGGGCAGGTGCAGTCCCATCTGGGTGTCTCTGGAGATAACCCACCATATGGGGTTCAGTCCCCTCTGGATCCTCTCATGCTGAGGAACCCAGTGGAATTCATAGAAACATGGAATGGTTTGGGTTGGAAGGGACCTCAAAGCCCACCCAGTCCCACCCCTCCATGGGCAGGGACACCTCCCAGCAGCCCAGGCTGCTCCAAGCCCCATCCAACCTGCCCTTCAACACCCCCAGGGATGGGGCAGCCACAGCTTCCCTGGGCAACCTGGGCCAGGGTCTCACCATCCTCACACTAAAGAATTTCTTCCTAATTCTTGGTGAATGTAGGACTGGAGCCCCAGAGCAGTTGGGTGCAGCTCCTTCCCTTCTATATTAATTATGAGTTGGTTTGGTTTTTTTTTCTAATAAGATTTAAGCCTGGAGAGGAGAAGGGCTCTGGGGAGACCTTAGAGCACCAGTGCTTGAAAGGGCTCCAGGAAAGCTGGGGAGGGACCTGGGATAAGGACAGGGAGTGGGAGGACAAAGGGCAATGATCTTAAACTAGAGCAGGGGAGGTTTAGATCAGACATTAGGAAGGAGTTCTTTACTCTGAGGGTGGTGAAGCACTGGAGCAGGTTGCCCAGAGAGGTGGTGGAGGCCCCATCCTTGGAAACATTCAAGATCAGGCTTGATGAGGCTCTGAGTGAGCTGACCTAGTCAAAAATGTCCCTGCTCACTGCAGAGGGGTTGGACTAGTTGACCTTGGAAGGTCCCTTCCAACCCCACACTTTCTGTGATTCAGTGATTCTAAGATGTAGTTCAGCTGGTGAAAAAACTGAATGAAGCCATTATGCTCCATAGGTGCCACGAGAGTTGCAGAGTAGCAGCCAGACATTGCTGTGGGGGCCATGAAGCCTCAAGATATCAACAAGGTCATGACAAAGGTTGTCCAACCCAGCTGGTGAATCAGACCCAAACTTGAACATCCCACGGATTTTTTAAAATATTAAAAAATAGGAAATAATCTTCCATCTCAAAGACAGGAGAGCGAATGCAGGAGGCACTGGGTGGTCACAGGCAGTGTCTCTCCATGGTTAGCTGTCCTCTGCTCCTGTCCTGGGGCTGCAGAAGTCCTTTCTCTCTCTGTGCCCTCCCTGACAGTTGTTTCCCTCTTCCTGCAGTGCTCCCTTTGACAGGATTGCAGAGATCAACTTCAACATCGATGCTGACGATGACAGTGTGAGTGGGGCTGGGGACACTGCTGGGGCAGGGCAGGTTCCAGGGAGCTCCTTTGCTTTGCCTCTGGGCGTCTTGGAAGGAACAAAAGCCATGATGTGTTATTTTGGTAAATGCCAACTGGTGACTGGGCTCAGAGCTGAGCCCTGTTCAGGGACTCAGGGCATCACATGAACCCCCAGGGAACCTGCCTGTGCTTTTAGTGTTGAGCATCTTGAGAAGCTGTAACTCCTGGCACTGGGTGGTGTGTTCTGTCTTGACCACAGACTTATTCTGGTTGGAAAATACATTTAAAATAATCAAGTCCAACCATTAATTCAACCCTGCCAAGTCCAGAGCTAACCCGTGTCCTTCAGCACCACATCTACAGGGCTTGGAAACCCCTCCAGGGGTGGAGGATCAACACCTCCCTGGGAAGCTTGTGCAGCTGTTTAATCACTCTTTAAGTGAAGAAGTTTCTTCTAATCTCCAACCTCAACCTCCCCTGGCACAACTTGAGGCCGTTCCCTCTTGTCCTGTCCCTTGTTCCTGGGGAGCAGAGCCCGACCCCCCTGGCTCCAACCTCCTCTCAGCAGCTGCAGAGCCAGCAGGTCTCCCCTCAGCCTCCTTTGCTCCAGGCTCAACACCCCCAGCTCCCTCAGCTGCTCCTCACAAGTTCTCCAGCCCCTTCTCCTTCTGCTCCAGCCCCTTCCCCAGCTCCGGGGCCCTTCCCTGGACACGCTCCAGGCCCTCCAGGTCCTTCTTGTCCTGAGGGCCCAGCCCTGACCCCAGGATTCCAGGTGTCCCCTCCCCAGTGCCCAGCACAGGGGGACAATCCCTGCCCTGCTCCTGCTGGCCACACTGTGGTGACACAAGCCAGGATGTTGGTGGCCTCCTTGGCCCCCTGGGCAGATCCTTCTCTCCTGGACCTGCTGCTCCCAGCACAATGTGTTGTTGCTCTTCCATGACTGAACGTTGCTTGTCGCTCAACTTGGGATGGAGGTTGGAATAAATGCAGAACCTTTCTGGTCCCAGTTGTGCACAAATGCTGTTCTCTGAACTTCCTCATCATTCAGGTTCTTGTTTCTGTCTCCAAAGGATTTGGGGTTTGATTTCCTTCTCATACTGTTTCAGCCCAATGCTTCCCTGTTCGAGGCCTGTTGCAACGAGAGGATCCAGCAGTTCGATGACAACGAGGAGGAAGAAGATATCTGGGAAGAGAAGGAGATCACCTATGCAACCCAAGTCAAATCAAGAACACGGTAGGGTGAAAACAAGAGATTGAAGATTTATTTTTTCCCCCCTAAACACTGTGAAACTGGAGTTCAGTGCATGTTTAACTTGTTGTATGTGCTGAGAGGCCTTTTTCTGGCATAAAGCCGAGTGCTTTCTGTGTCGCGCTGCTGCAGAGCTGGTGGTTTGTCTTGAATGTGAAACAAAGATCCAGTTGGAGGGAGTGCAGCAGTGATGGAGACCCTCAGTTACTGGGGCTGTTATTAAAGACATTTTTTTAACTCTCACTTAGTTTGAATTCCTTAGAACTCCCTCCTTTCCTCACTTTTTGAGAGGAGGAGGGTGAAAGCGCAGAAGGTTGAGGGCAGGAGACACAACATTATTCAAAATGTCAAGAAAAGAGAATCTGTTTTTTTTCCTGAGAAGGAGTGACCCCCTGTGCTGCTTTCCTGCCATTGCAGATCATTCCCTGTTTCTCATGCCTTTGACATAGTCAGTTATGAAACCAAGTTACCCCTGTAATTCTAAGCTCGAAAAAATGATCGAATGGGACAGGAAAAATGGCCAAGACTTTAATGTTTCTGAGCATCAATCAGTGGGTTGTCTGGTTGGTGCACAGCACTGCCACCAGCCTGCTCTCCTCCTCCTGCTGCCCTGCCTGCTCGTGTCCATCTCCAGCCCTGAATGTGTCACTGCAGGGCACTCCACATGAAAACTCTGCAGATGCATTTTGACAAGGAAGGCACTTGGACTGTGCCTGGAGGAGCCCCTGCTGTTCCCTGCCCTGCCCTGGATCTCCTGGGGAGGTGATCCCTGGGAGAGGCACTGGGCAGCTCCTGGTCACCTCCCCATTTGTGGTTCCTGCCAGGGCAGGGGCTGAGGGATGAACTGGCTGCTCAAAGGGTTTTACTAATTCTGAGCTTTGTGGTTTAGATTTGGAGCATCTCAGACCTCAGAGAGTTCATCAAAAAGTGATCTTGAGAACGGAGATCACGACGGTAGCGTGGACTCGGAAGAGGAGGAGGAAGCAGAGCAGCCCCCACCTCCTTCCTCAGCAAACAACACCACGAGTAATATTTCTGAGCAGAAAGACTCGGACTCGTCTGAAGGTAAAGAGCTTAAACCAGCCTGTTTGGAAGGAGCTCTGTGACTTCTCTGCAGGACTGGGCAGAGTGTTGGGTTTCTGGGACTGGGCTGGAGTTCCAGCTCTGCGGATCTGAAGTGGGAATTTCAGTCCTCATGTTGTGCCTCTGAAATCTTAGTGAGGTTGAGCCCTGCCCAGCTCCTCAGAACTGTCTGTGCTGCTTCAGTGCAGCTTAGACAACCACACAGGGACCAGCACACTAATAACACTTGCTCTTGTAGTACAAATATGAGGTCTCTGCAGAGACCTTCCAGTGCCTGAAGGGGCTCCAGGAAAGCTGGGGAGGGGCTTGGGACAAGGGCAGGAGGGCAGGGAGCAGGGGGAAGGGTTTCCAGCTGGCAGAGGGAGCTGGAGCTGAGATGGGAGGGAGAAATTCTGGGCTGTGAGGGTGGGGAGAGCCTGGCCCAGGTTGCCCAGGGAAGCTGTGGCTGCCCCATCCCTGGGGGTGTTGAAGGGCAGGTTGGATGGGGCTTGGAGCAGCCTGGGCTGCTGGGAGGTGTCCCTGCCCATGCAGGGGGGGCACTGGGTGGGCTTTGAGGTCCCTCCAACCCAAATCATTCTACATTTTCAATGCTGCTTAGGAAGAACCAGTGTAAGGGGACTGGCAGCCTCTGGACAACGCGCACTGCTTCAGTTGCCCTTCTGGAGGGTTTGGTTCAAATCTTGGTTCAGTATTTCAGCCAGTGCAGGCTTGGTGGATCTCTCCTTCTCTTTTGTTGCATGCAGATCAGTTTGCAGGACAGACCTTTGCTGTCCTTTCTCTTTATTGAGAAATTGTAATGGAAAAGGCATTTTAAAAAAATTAGTGATTTGCACAAAATGAAGATTGTTCTAATGAATAAGGAGTAGGCTGGGACTATAAAAAAAGAAATTATGGAATCATGGAATGGTTTGGGTTGGAAGGGACCATAAAGCCCACCCAGTCCCACCCCTGCATGGGCAGGGACACCTCCCACCATTCCAGGCTGCTCCAAGCCCCATCCAACCTGCCCTTCAACACTGCCAGGGATGGGGCAGCCACAGCTTCCCTGGGCAACCTGGGCCAGGGTCTCAAATTATGTTCTTAGTTTTTCTCAAGATCACTTGTGTAATTTTAAACATCTTTAATCAGTACATTAAATCCTTACCTGCAATTGCCAAAATTAAGCAGTTGGTGACTTGAAAAAGTTGACAGCCCTGGCACTGCTAGGAACCTGAAGTCTGTGGAGCTCAGCTGAAGGTCACTGGCTCCAAGAATGAAGACCTTCATAATATCCTTGTTCTTAACTGGTGCTTCTCTCCTGTGGGTCACATTGATACCTGTGACAAGAGGGATTTTCAGGCTGATTGTCCATAACCAGTGAGACAAACAGCTTCGTGTAGACTGGGGAGTGCCCCTGGAGGGTTGGTCTTCTGTCGTCTCTGGGATCCCCTTGGTGTATTTTTGGGAAGGCCAAAGAGTGTGAAGGCTCAGAGGGATTGCAGGCCCTGGTTGTGTGTCCCCAGGCTCTGGCTGGACAGCCGTGTTCGAGCCCGTCAGCTCCAAGCCCCCCCCGCCCTGCGTGGCCATGGACGTTGGTTCCAGTGTCTGGGATTCAGCAGCCCCGGAGAACCCCACCCCGGAGGAGAAAGGATGGGCCAAGTTTACAGACTTCCAGCCTTTCTGCTGGTAAGGGAAGCACAGGATCTTTGCTTCTTTGTGTTTGAATGAAAGAGTGATTGAAGCAGGGTTTGCTGGGGGCCATCAGCTCAGCATGTTCTGTCTTCCCCTCCTGCGCCTTTTATGTTTTAATGCTGAGTGTCCTGGATCCAGGGTTTGTCCTTCCCTTTGCCTCCCAGTGCCCCTGACTGGTGTTAACATCCATGTCTGTGGCACAGGAATAGTTCATGTGGCCTCACTGCTGCTACACGGAGTGAAAAATGAGTAAATTCATAAGGTTTTTAGAATTGTAGAATCGTCCTGGTTGGAAGGGACCTTGAAGATCATCAAGTCCAACCATAACATAAATCCTCCTTCCATAACCTGACTTAGCAGTTCAGTGCTTAAATCATGTTCCTAAGCACTGTATCTACATTTCTTTTCAACACTTCCAGGGATGGTGACTCCACCACCTCCCTGGGCAGCCTGTTCCACTGTCCAGCCACTCTTAGAAGTTACAGTGTGCCCAGGAAAAGTAATGCCCAGTCATTTCTTCACTTGGGGGCAATCAGGAGCACAGCCAGGGTGTCTGTTCTTCATTCTCAAGGCCTTTTCCCCCTCTACTTCAGCTCAGAATCAGGCCCACGGTGCAGTTCTCCTGCTGACACAGAAAGCAACGTCTCAGACGGGAACTCGAAGCAGAGTCAAGACAAGAACTGTAAGTGAAAATGTTACAAGACAAACCAGACCTGTTATTTAAGCTTTGTGAGCTTCTGCACAGCCTACCAAGTCTTCTAGAGAGAAACTTCCCTCTGGTGCCATCTGCCTTATCTTGCTTTGTGGACAGTGATCTATTAAAATAGACAGAATCTATTAAAATAGTAACTCCAAAATCCTGAATGTTTGTTGGGATAACGTTATTCAGCAAGAAAAGGATGAAAGTCAAGTTAGTAGGAGCTGATGTCCCGGAGACCATTCATTTAGAAGCTGTTCAAAAGTCCTGTTTTGACCATATGCTTGGCTGCAAAATCACTTGCCCAAAATTCAAAGGCTGGGGTGGGTGAGCCTGGTGGTTGTGCCCAGCCAGTCGGGTTGTCCTTGGTGTGATCTTGTCCCCTCCTTTCTGTGCAGCAAAGTGGAACTGGTGTGATTACACCCCGACATTGCTCTGAGCTGGGTCAGTCAGCAGGGACCCTGGGAGCTCTGAGTCCTTGCCATTCAGAGCTACCACTGTTCAACAAGTGAAGAAAAGAGTCTCCTCTGCTGTTTGCACTGAACACAGACATGGGGTGGCAGGTGGAGAACGTTGGTTTGAGGGGCTGGGGTTTGTTTTCCTGGCTCGCAAAAAGAAATGCCCCGTGTTGTGGGATCTGCACAGGAACCATCTCACCCTCTGTAATAGTGGTGAGCGCTGGGTTTTACACCCCCCTGCTTGCTCAGGGCCCTGCCTGGGGAGTCCTTCCCATGGTTGAGTTAATTTTGCCCCGTGGGTGATTTCCTTCCCCAGTCAGTGCTGCCTCCCCCTGCGTTTGGAACGTCTGTGTCACCAGGAAAGCGCCGCTGGTGGCCTCGGACAGCAGCTCCTCCGGGGGCTCCGACAGCGAGGAGGAGGAGGAGAAGCCTGACACTGTCACAGAAACCATCAGCACAGGCTCTGGGCAGGAAACCATCAAGCTGACCATGGACGCCAAGAACGAGAAGGCTGTTTTCACCAGGTGAGGAGGGATCTCCCTGGGCTGGGTCCCTGCTCAGCCCTGAGCTCCTGTGTCGCTGGGGGTTAATGTTCCCTTTGGAACCTTGTGGTTCCCAGGTGTCCTGGGTGAGGGTGGCTCACAGCTTTCTTGTCACAGGGCTCTTGTTTTAAGAGAACATTTATGGCAAGTGTATTGAAAGAGTTGTTTGTGGCTCCTTTTAGCCCTGTCACAGAAGCATCACCCCTCTCTCTGCAGAGAGGTCTGGGCCTGGGCTTGTGGCCATTGCAGGTCAGATCGTGCAGAATCACAGGCTGGTTTGTGTGGGAAGAGACTTTAAAAAGCCCACCCAGTGCCCCCCCTGCATGGGCAGGGACACCTCCCACCAGCCCAGGCTGCTCCAAGCCCCATCCAACCTGCCCTTCAACACCCCCAGGGATGGGGCAGCCACAGCTTCCCTGGGCAACCTGGGCCAGGCTCTCCCCACCCTCACAGCCCAGAATTTCTCCCTAATATCCAATCTGAATCTCCTCTCCTCCAGTTTGAAGCCACCCCCCCATAACCCATCCCTCCCTGCCCTTACAAAAAGCCAAGAGCAGAAGAGTGGAGAGAGGCCTCACATGAGGGTGGGACAAGGTCTGACATGGGCTCAGCCTCTGGTCTTGCAGGGGGAAGATGGAAATAATTCAAGCTGTTCTTTTCCCCTCAGTGTCAAATTGGTGCATTTCAGACAGGGCTAAAAAAAAAGGCCAAATGCCAGGAAAAGCTGTGGCAGATCCTGAGATGTGTCAGCTTTTGGGCAGTGGTTTGGTTGGAATGGCATGTGCTGGACCTGCTCTCATCACTGGAGAGGGGAAGTTGCTTTTCACAACAGTCAGCACCTGCTTCACTTTGGTGCATCCAGAAATATTACCCACTTTTAAGATATTTGGGTTTTTTCCTCATATTCCTTACAAGTATGTAGGATGTGATTAAACTAGTTGGAGTCCCTCTTTTTTAGGCATCTGGCTCAGGAACAGGTATTTATTTACCTGTGATAAGGTGGCTCTGTGACTCTTGGCTGGCAGTGGGAGCTGCTGGGCAGGTGTGTGCACTCCAGCAACTAGTTACCAGGAGTTAAAAAGCAGTAGTTCAGGCAACAAGCAGGATTACAGAGCTAGGTACAGTGATGGAGACAGTTAACCCAAGGTACATTTAGTTAAGCAACTTGGAATTGGGCTTTTAGCAACATGTCTGGGTTTTATTTTTGATGTCCACCTCCTGTGGCCTTCAGTCTTGGTAGCTGAGGTGGCTGAGGTGCCCCTGCCTGCAGGGCAGCTCTGAGGGGCTCCTGTGGCACATGGAGGTGGTTGGTGAGCACAGAGGTGGCCTGGCCAAGTGGCCTGGCTCCACCAAGAGTGAAAGGATGGACGATTATACCACCTGCTGTGCTGGAAGCAGCATCTCCTTTTCCAGCTTTCATTGCACTTGGGTTGCATCTAATTAAATCTTTGGCATGTGGAGCTAAAACAAACTCTGCTCCAGATGTTTCTCCTCTCTGAACACATGGTGTCTGGGAGTGGAGCTGTTCCAGGTGTAGCTCTGCTCTCATTCACAGTAGCAGTGTCAGCCTGAGCTCCCATGTTCTTGTCTTCATTTCAGAGCAGGAGGGGGATTTGCTGGGTTTTTTCTCATTTGGCAGGTTGGAGGTTGTGGGCTGTGCTGCTGTGTCAGGCAGTGTCATTTTGAACGTGTTTTCCTCTCTAAATCAGCACGTGTATCTTGAGCACTTGCAGTGAGGATGAGGCTCCCAGAACCTGCTCAGTTTTGCATGACTGCAGCTCCACAGAACTAATTCCACTTTGGCAGAGAAAGTAAACACTTGAGTCACCACAGTCTGCATCTGAGAGGTGTCTGTAGCTTTCCACAGCTAGAGCTGTAGCCAAAAATCAAAACAGAGGCTGTGAGAAGACAGAAACCTGTTGTATAGGTGGCCATTTCTGCTGCTCCAGGTCTGTATGAATTCCCATAATGACCAGTGACCATAATGGAAACCTGCAGCTGTCCTGGTGTTTTCTCTCCCCAGCCAACCTGTCTCTGTTGGAACTGCTGCAGTTAAACAGCCAGTAGTGAACGTAACAATTTCTTACCATGTTCCTTAATGATTTCAAGAAAATGAACTATACTAAAAGTTTAAGGATTTTTCAGATGGAGTCAGTGGTTCTTGGTGACTTTCTAGCAGCACTTGCCAGAAGTCCTAAACTGTCACCAAACCACGTTCCTAGTTTTGTAGAAAATACAGTTTTCTTTTTCTACACTAATACCTTTTGACTCCAGGAATACAGATAAACAGCAATCTGCTGCTTGGATACTCTTTGGAGCTGTGCAAGGACTAGATCCTTCAATCACCAGGGTCATGAGAGCTCCAGATGTTGCAGTAGCTGCCTCTGACACCCTCCATCATCACCTGAACTGCTGGTGCTTCTCTGCCTGCCCCAGAATTTAAACTCTGCCAAGTCAGTGGTCTGTCCTGGCATGGCTCAGCAGGATGTCCCTCGTGGCAGTTCTGCTGCAGGTGGCCACTGTTCTTAGCAGTGGTTCAAACATCATACACAAGGAAGGTGCTTTAAATTTAAGTAGGTACCTCTGTTTCTTGCATCTAATTCTGTATCAGAGTTCCTTGTGAAAAGCTGAGGGGTTTTGCAGCACTTCCCTGCCTGAAGAGCTTCCAGTGTTGCCACATCTTGCTTTTTGGTAACTTGAGAATGTGTCTGTTAGCCTTGAGAATGATGATGCTTTTTACAGTGTGTCAAATATTCTGCTTTTTTTGGTATATTGATCTGAATTTTATGTGGGAAATGCCATGTTCAGTGATTGTGCTCTTTGAAATTTGCTTTTCAAATGTTCCTGCAGGTTCTGCTGGCAGGAGCAGGCTTGAGGATACAGTTGCAAAGTTAACTCTGGTGTCTGTTTTTTCAGCAATCTTTACTGTTTTCTTTTTCTTCCTGTCTTTTTTTTGCTTCCTTCCCATCCCTGCCTCTCTTGCTGCCCTTCTCTCTTGCTGTGGGTATTGCTCAGAGTATTTAGACCTGCAGTCAGAGGGTATGTATGACCATCACCTTCTCAGGGCTCCAAACATCCACCTGACAAGTAGTTTCTCCCATTAGTTCCTTCATACTGAGCTGGGAAAAAAAACAATAAAAAAGAGCTGTTGGGCTGGGAAGGATCATCCCTACACAGGCAGTTACAACAGATCCTAGAAATTGTGTCTCCCAAAGCTGGTTGGTGAGGTTGTGTCCAGTCCTGCTCCCAGTCAGTGCCCCAAACCACCAGAAAACAAACAAGGGGGCTCAGCAGTTTCATGCATCGTGTCCTTGAGCTTCTGCCATTCCATCATCAGCTCTTTCTGCAAAGAGAGGATTTTTTAATTATTATTTTATGACTGTTTTAGAAGGGAAGTTCCTGCTCTGGTCTGATGGCAGCAGGAGGGTCTCTCTGCCCCCCCTTCCCACGCAGCCGCTCCTGGGGTCGCTGCCCGTGTTGGGTGGGTGGTGCTCAAGTCTCCTGAGACTTTCTCACAACAGCACTAACAAATGTTTGACTGGGATCCTGTAACACATAAAAGAATGGTTGGTGTGTTTTCCAGATGCCTGCTTTTTTTTTCCCTAACAAAACTGTTGTTTCTTCCTCCCAGAGTTTGCTCTGTTTTACACCCTGGGGTTTGACTCCTCGTTTCCCAGAGCTGATCCATGTCAGTGCCTTTTCCCAAGTGCAAGCTGGCAGGGCTTGGCTGTAATTTCTGGGTAAAAGCAGAGACAAAAAGAGAAATTCACTGTAATAAGCAGGTCTCATAACTGTTTCATTTGAAAAGGAGTATGTGAAGCTTTCAGACCTAGAAAGGACAGTGAAGAGAGCATGACCCCTCCGAGCAGGGGGTCCAGGAAGTGCAGCCCAGCACGTGCCTGCACTCCCCAGAGGCTAAAGGCTTTCAGAATTAGAGACTGGGTGGTATTTTAAAATAGTATTAATTACCAGATGCCTTTATTTACCTTACTATTTAATAATGAACTCTGCCATTTTCACGAGCTTTGGAAAGTTCTCTGCCCGTTGATCAGCAGGAGGGGCCGTGCTGCTCTCACCTCACAGGCTGTGCCAGCAATGCAGTGAGATTCCAGCTGTTAAAGAGTGATCAGGGAGGTGTAGTTCATGCCCGTTTTAGACTGGTTGGGCCTTCTAGAAGCTGTTCAAGGCTGGTGCAAGGTGAGGGGGGCTGGGACATTTCTGCAGGGCTTTGCTGAAGTTGTAGGAGCCGGCGCTGGGCAGTCAGTGAGGGCTGTGCAGTGGTGGTGGCCCCAGCAGCTCCACACACCTCCTGGGCAGCAGGATGAACAGGCCTGAGACTTGAATCCCATGGGAAGGCAGAACAGTGGATGCAAAAAGCATAGGCAGTGTGAGCAGCACTTGGGTGGGAGGTGCCTCTCATTGCCCTGTCTCTGTGCTTTGTTTGTAACGCTGTGATACCAGCCCGAGCCTTTGCATTTCTTCTCCATGACTTCCAAGATCTGTCTGAAGGATCTGGCTGCTGAGTTGGTCTCATAAGGCTTCTGAGCAGCTCCTTAAAATATGAACTGCACTTCAAAAAAACCAAACTGGTTAAAAGTACTCCAGCTTTTGCTGTGTGTGGTTCTGCTGGGCTTGGGATGTTGGTAACTTTGAATTTCTGTTTCAGTTTATTAAGTTCACCTGAAATGCTTTTTTCCCCTTTAATCTTATTTTATTTTTTTCTTGAAGTGGTGAACACATTTACTGTCCCATTCCCCCCAGTGCTTCCTCACCCAACTGGCAGGGATAAGCAGCAGAAAAAGGAAGTTTAGAGGAGGGGCTGGAGTCCATCTGAGCTCCTCTGGCTTTGGTCCCAACCCTCACTCAACTCAGCTTTGCAGGCAGACACTGCAGGTGCTGCAGCTCTTCCCTTACAGCTGAGCTGAAGGTGAGACAAGGAGCAGCTTGTGCATTTTGCAGAGATTTCACTGAATCACAGAATGATTTTGGTTGGAAAGAATCTTTAAGATCACCCAGCCCAACCCTTCCCCCAGCCCTGCCAAGGCCACCCCAGCTCCGTGCTGTCCCATTCCCCCCAGTGCTTCCTCACCCAACTGGCAGGGATAAGCAGCAGAAAAAGGAAGTTTAGAGGAGGGGCTGGAGTCCATCTGAGCTCCTCTGGCTTTGGTCCCAACCCTCACTCAACTCAGCTTTGCAGGCAGACACTGCAGGTGCTGCAGCTCTTCCCTTACAGCTGAGCTGAAGGTGAGACAAGGAGCAGCTTGTGCATTTTGCAGAGATTTCACTGAATCACAGAATGATTTTGGTTGGAAAGAATCTTTAAGATCACCCAGCCCAACCCTTCCCCCAGCCCTGCCAAGGCCACCCCAGCCCTGTGTCCCTCAGCACCATCTCCAGGGCTTGGAAACCCCTCCAGGGATGGGGACTCCCCCCCTGCCCTGGGCAGCCTTGGCCAGGCCCTGACAACCCTTGCCAGGCAGGAATTGTTCCCCAGATCCAACCTCAACCTCCCCTGGCACAACTTGAGGCCGTTCCCTCTTGTCCTGTCCCTTGTTCCTGGGGAGCAGAGCCCGACCCCCCTGGCTCCAACCTCCTCTCAGCAGCTGCAGAGCCAGCAGGTCTCCCCTCAGCCTCCTTTGCTCCAGGCTCAACACCCCCAGCTCCCTCAGCTGCTCCTCACAAGTTCTCCAGCCCCTTCTCCTTCTGCTCCAGCCCCTTCCCCAGCTCCGGGGCCCTTCCCTGGACACGCTCCAGCCCCTCCAGGTCCTTCTTGTCCTGAGGGGCCCAGACCTGAACACAGTTCTGCCATTCCTACATAACAGTTGCTGTAAAACCACTGTAAAAGTCTCCTCTTGTTTCTGGCCACACACAGTCTGGGGTGAAGTCACTCAAAGTTCACTCTAACCACCATGACAACCCTAAGTTGCTGAAGCCCCCAGGGGCAGCAGTTGGCAGCATTTCCCCCTGCACAGATCAGGGGGTCTGTGGGGTGTGGAGGGTCCCAGGGCCCAGCCAGGTGTGGGGCCAGGGCAGCCTTTGGCCATCTCTGAGCAAGGAGTTCGGGTGCAGTGGCCACTGAAATGCAGCAGAGAAAGAATCCTCCAGTTTCCCAGGCCGAGTGGAGCGACGTTGTCACTGTGGATGTTTTGAGCTCTCCCATTCTGGGACATGTTTTCCCTTCCTGTGCCTGCTTGTCCTGCATGATGTTGGGCTTTGACCTCACACGTGGCCAGCGTGGAGATGGGCATGAGGAGCCTTTGTCCTGCTTGTGCCTGGTTTGGCTGCTGGAATGCTTGGAGCAGCTGCCTGGGGGGAAGGGGGTGCTGTGGGAAGGGGGGCAGGGAGCATGGCTGCTGCAACCTGTGGGACTTGGCTGCATGTCACTGTGTGTTTATTCAGAAAGGAAAAATAATAATGGCTAATCCAAGGTCCCATTTCACTGGAAAACTTTTCCAACCAGGGATGAGCACTTGGTGCAGTAACTGGCATGGATGGGACCTTCTACCACAGCATGAACGTTGCCCTTGTTAATGGCAGATTGTGTGTAGGTTTGGAGGCCAGACCTCCCATGTGGTGTCACTTTGTCTCATTAACAGCCAACCACTGATTTCCAAGTGCTCCAGGAAGCAGGAGTGTGGCATGGCTGCCTGAGCAGCTCTTGCTTTGTCTCTTGGTTGGTTGGTGCCTGGTTTTTAAGGACTGGCTTGTGGGCTCAGCATGAGATCTGTGGTTGGGTTCTGCTCTATATACCTCTTGCTTCTCTCTTTATCCTACCACTGGTTTTCCTAGTGTGTCCTCACTGTGTTTTGTTGTCTGTGATACTGTTTACCAAAGAGACTAGAGGATAAACAGTAGTGAGCTTTGGAGGTGGGTAGAACCCCTCCAAGGTTGTTACCTTCAATGTCAAATCCTTCTTTCCTGATATATCTAAAGATCTGCCATCATTTGGTTCTGCAGCCTGAATTTTTAATGGATTCTTGGTAGGTGAATATTATTGCACTTGGCATCAGGAGGAGCTTCATTAGGTGCTGTAGCACATGCATTTCCATCTGACCCTACAGTCCCGGGTCACTTGGGCACATTTGAGCCACCAACAAAGCTTAATTTGTCTTGCTCAGTGCCAGGGGCTCTCAGTGAGCAGATCTGTGGCAAGAGAGGGGCATCAAGATGGGTGTGATGAACCTGAGCAAAAGAGGTGCTCAAAAACATTGCATTGCTGAAGTATTTTCTCCCTAAAGCTGGTGGAAATCTAGAGGAAGAACTGAATTGTTAGCAAAATGCAGGCAAGCTCCTGAGGTTTTAATCTTTATGAACAGAACAGGAAATCCCTGTTTTCCCTGGGTACCAGTTTTGATGTAGAGGGGTTTTACAGCAACTTTGGTCATTACAAAATGTGAACTTTGTTAAACCCTGTTTTTCTAAGAAGAAATTGCACTTCAGCAAAACTAATTGTCCTGATAGCTTGGGGAGCCTTGGGGCTTGCAGGATTTGGGCATTAGAGCAAACAAGAATGAGCAGCCATTGTGTCCCAGCTGAGGTCTGGAATGAGGATGGAGGATATTTCTTTATATGACCCATAATAAAAGCTGAGAACTCTCTCCTATCTTTATGGCAGGTTTTTTTCTAAGCAGTTGCTGGAGTTGAGCTCATGACCTGGCAGAGCTGCACGTTGCCAGCAGTCTGGGAAAGCAAATCCCTGCTGGCTTCCCACAGAAGGTGGGACCTTCCCAAGAGTAGCTGGGAGACTTTTCTGGAGTCCCTTGTCTAAAGGAACCTGTGTCCATCTGGGAAGGGCATGGAAAGCCTCCTTGAAAGCAGGTGCAGCTTTGATCAGAAGTGTTTCAGTAGCCTTCCTTGTCTGACCCACCTACCCATCAGCTAACATAAAGTAACAGCTTAGGAAGAAGTAGGATTTTAAATAGTTCTTAGCTCAAAAATATTATTTATTATTTACTATTAGTTGTTGTTGTTAATAATAATAAAAACAACAATAATAATACTAATGTAATGATGCAAAGTGGACTCCCGAGTGCTGGGCAGTTCAGATCAGCCAGAGGAGATGGGATTGTACCTGCCCTGAGAAACTGCTGCCTTAAAGGACAAACCCTAGATGATAATTAAGATTTTAAATCCATCAGGAGGAGTAAAAGAGAATGAGTGACCTGTTTCCCTTTCCCCACCTCTGCAGTCCCCTGGTGTGCTGGGAAGCAGGCTGAGAAACCTGTCCCTGAGGGTGTTCCCCAGCTTCCCACCCTCCAGTGACCATGGCCAGAATTCAGCACGTTCCATTCTGAAGGTGGCTCCAGCAGGAGGGTTCCTTCTGGTGTCTGCAGCAGCACATGGGTGTTCTCCCCTCCCTGAGATGCCCAGCTGGTTTGTTGCCTGTGCTCTCCTTGCTGGGCCCCAGGCAGTAACAGCCCCCTGCCACCACAAAGCTGCTTCTGTCTCTAGACCCCAAGGGGATCTCAGAGTTCTCCTGCAGGAGATTTGTTGCATGAGGGTCAAGTAGAGACTGTTGAGGCTGCTTTGAGCTCAGCTGTGTTACACCTAAGGTGAGGGAAGCTTCATCAGCTCTGCTAAGCCCAGTGTGTTCACCAAGCATCCAGGTGAGGAGGTCACCAGACTGTGCCAGGGCTGTCCCAAAGCAACCAGCCAGTGCTTAGGAGGAGACATCTCCAACTTGTTTTGTCCACACCCTGTTCTAACCTTCTAGAGGTGAAGGTGGGTGGGCCTAGTAGTGCAGGTCAGATCTTCTGGCCTTGCTTTATGGTAAGACTGAAGGGTTTGGACATCCAGGCTGTGCACTGGGGGTGGTTGGTATCTCAGCAAGCATTTAGGGCTCACAGACAGAGAGGGCTCTGTGACAAGTGACTTCCAGGGGAATATTTACAAACCTGGTGGTGAAGCTGCAGCGTTTGGCTGCACTGCTGGACCCACTGAACACAGAGGAGAATTGTCCTGGCTCTGGTGTTGGGCAGCCCCGGGGCCACGGCTGTAGGTGGCATTCCCAGTTGTTTGTGCTGGGTGCTTGTCCTTTGGGAAAGAAGCCACAGCTCTGGACAGACACTGGCTGCTGGAAAATTTGTGCAAGTGGCTGGGAATGAGAGTTCAGCAGTTCCCAGTTCCTCCTGGAGTGGGAGGCATCAGAGCTGGGTCTGCAGAGCCAGCGAGGCAGGGGCTGGGGAACATCCAGGAGTTGCTGGTAGCTCCTCTTGCTTAGGCTGCCTCAGCCTGGAGGAGGGACAGGTGACATGTTCCCTGCCCTCAGCCTGGGGGTCTGGAGCAGGTAACCAGGCTGCATGGTCCCGTGGAGGTGAGACTGGATGGACAGCAGGGCTGTGCCAGCCTGGCACTGTGGGGATGCTCCTCCCTGCTAAAAAGAACCTGACCAGAGGAGCACTAACAAAATCTTTCCAGGCACCAGAGGTTATTCTAGGCCAGAATTAGGTGGTGGTGTTAACCCTCCTCCCCAGGTCCTGGTGTTCTTTGTTCCACACAACCTCTTGGGGCTGGTTTACCCCATTAGTCTGGCCTGTCCATGTCCTTCTGCAGAGGTTCTTGTGGCCAGAGTTGCTTTTCCAGGAGCCTGTTGAAGAGAGAGACATTTCCATGCATGGGCAGCAGCCTTATCTAACATCAGGATCCTCATGTCATGGAAACTTTAGTGATTGAATAGAAGAAATTTCTCTTTAAGCAATTGAAGTCCCATGAGCTCCAGTTTCTTGTGTGGGAAGTCATTTTCTAATGACATTTCTGGCAGCTCAGTTGAATTCTCTGCTGCCTCATCTGTTCTCTGCAGTTACTTGTGGTATTTCTTTTGAAGAGCACAGGGGCCCTTTAGGAAGATAAATGTTTTGATCTCATTATTCCTCATTTTTTAATCTCTTTCTTTTTTTCAAGAGCACAAGTAGCTACAGAAATAGAACCTTCATCTCAGAATCTGCCACATGTCTTCATTACCAGACAGGGATTCTGTTCTGCATATCATCTGCATACACAGGCAGCTGCTGCCAGGGTGCCAGCTCAGTCATCTGCTGAGCTTTCCTCCCAGTTTGGTTGGCTTGCTGCCTGAGAGCAGGAGAAATCAGGCTGGGTTGGACTGTGGGGAAGGTCGTTCACAAACAAGCTCATCCTCTGCCTTAGAAGGCAAAAAAATAAAGGTGTTCAGGGAAATCACCTCCCCAGTTAGAAATGTGGGGCTTCCTACCTGTGGTGGTTGGTCCTGGCTGGGGGCTGGTGCCCACCAGAGCTGCTCCATCACTCTCCATCCTCAGCTGGACAGGGGAGAGGAGACAGCTGGAAGGCTGGTGGGTGCAGGTGAGGACAGGGAGATCCCTCAGCAGTTGCAGTGATGGGCAAAGCAGGTGTGACTTGGGGAAATCAGCTCAATTTATTGCCAGTCAAATCCGAGTAGGGTCTTGGGAAATAAAACTAAATCTTAAACCCCTTCCCCCACCCCCCTCTTCTTCCAGGGCTCAACTTCACTCCTGATTCCTCCACCTCCTCCCCAGCAGTGCAGGGACAGGGAATGAGGTTTGGGGTCAGTTCATCACACCATGTCCCTGCTGCTCCTTCCTCCTCAGGGGAAGGACTCCTCACACCCTTCCTGGCTCCAGCTTGGGGTCCCTCCCACAGGAGACAGGTCCTCCCTGAACTTCCCAGCCTGAGTCCTTCCCATGTGCTGCAGTTCTTCCCAAACTGCTCCAGTGTGAGGTCCTCTCTCTGCATGGCCACAGGTGCTGCCAGGAGCCTGTTCCAGCATGGGTTCCCGTGGGGTCACAGTCTCCTTCAGGCATCCACCTGCTCTGCCATGGGATCCTCCATGGGCTGTGAGTAGATACCTGCTCCACCATGGACCTCCATGGGCAGTAAGGACAGAACCTGCTTCACCATAGTCTTCACCACAGGCTACAAAGGAATTTCTGTTGGATCCTGGAGCATCTCCTTCCCTTCCTTTTTCCTAACAAACAAAGGCAGTTTATTAAAGCAAAAAAAGACCATGTGCAGAAGCAAAGCACAGAATCATTTAGGTTGTAAAAGACCTTTAAGATCATCAAGTCCAACCAACGAAAGCAAAGAAAAGACTTCTTACATCCCACCAGCAGGTGGTGTCCAGCCTGGACATCATGGGCATGAACACCTGCACCTCCTTTCTTTTTGCTTTTATTGCTGAGCAGTGATCATGGTGTGGAAGGTCCCTTGGGTCAGCAGTCCTGGCTGTGTCCCCTCCCAGGGTCTCACCCACCCCCAACCTCCTGGCCAGGAGAGATGTTGGAGAACCAGCCCTGGGGCCCTGGGCACTGCTCAGCCATGGCCAAGGGCTCCATGTCTAGGGGTGTTTCCAACACCCCTCCAGCTGCCAACACACAAAAGCAGCAGAATTGGAGGTTTTATGCTAGTGGGATTTTTACCTTTTCTGGGCTTGGAGCTGCTGTTCTGTTGCAGGGAGGTGTCCCTGGAGGTGGTGGTTGGACCCGATGATCTCAAAGGTCTTTTCCAACCAAAACAATTCTGTGTTACTGGAAGCCAGGTAATGTAACCATGCTGAAGATACCACTCACGAGCATCCAGTCGACCTTTTTCCTTCCTCAGAGTCTTAGGTTCTGTACTTAGGTGGTTTCTCAGTGCACAGAGGTGCCCTGGGGGGATGCAGTAGAGTTGGAGCAGCATAGGTGCCGTTCTTGGATCAGAGACACTGAGCCAAAAGTGGCAGTTTGAGGAGCACTGGGCTTGGGATCTGCTTGGCTGTGCTGGGTAACAGAGGGTGAGTCCAGGAGATGTGAACCCCTCTGGGCTGTCCATGAAAGGCTGGACTAGAAGATCTTCTGAGGTCCCCTCCAGCACAGGCTTTTCCGTGGTGTTGTGTGCTGAGGGCCTCCAGGTACCCCCAGGGATTCTGGTTTCTTGATCCTGCTGATAACCTCGACCTTCTGGACCCTCTAAACTTGGCCAAGTGCACTTCACATTTGCATCTTGCTGCTCTTTGGTGTCTGCTCATCCACAGGAGAGCGACCAGCAGAGGTGGCTGCAGGGGGAGAAGTGCCTGGTGTGGGGGTGGTGGGGATGCATGGGCAGCTCTTAGGCTGGGTTTGGCTGCAGGGCATGGAAGTGCCTTCCTCCAGGAGTCATCTGTGCCTCTTTGGTGTCTTGTTCCTTTTTAGGAAACAGCCCCTTGATGCTCGTGCTGCCTTTTCATTCCAGTTTCTTTCCAGTTCACGTTTCTTCATGGGATTTTCGTGGCCTGTCCTAGGAGAGGAGGAGTTGTTGGTTTTAACTCCATTGGAATTCAAGCCCCCTTGATTGACCCTTTAACGTGAACTTGAACTCTCCCCACACAGTGATGCAGACTGCATGGTGATTGATAAGCTGGCCATCACTGACATGGGCCCCACAAAAGCCTCCAAGCCCCTGAACAACGTGGCCCAGCACGTGGAGGAGCAGCAGAAGCCCAGCCCGGCCGGCACGGGGACGGCCACGAGGGACAGGTGAGCTGGGCAGAACCCTCCTTTGCCTGAGACTGACAACTGGGTCTTCCCCTCAGTCTGGTTATTCTACCATCAGTCCATGGTCAGAGTTACACCAGGAGAACCTGGGTTGTCTCAGGGAGCATCACACTGCGGGTCCTGTGGGGCTGTTCCTGCCATAGAGTGCCCAGTGTCCCTGCCATGGCCGGGGTGGGACAGGATGGGCTTTGAGGTCCCTTCCCACCCAAACCATTCCATGATTCACATCCTGATCCTGGGACATGCTGTGGGGCCCAGCAGGCCTGTGGCAGGAGGTGCTGAGCCAAGTGTGGCTCCAGGCAAGACCCACATACAGCTCCCAGGCTGATGGTGGAGGGGACCTGGGGGCAGGTTGGAGCCTCTCGTGGTCTCAGGGCCTCAATGGTCACCTTCCAAACTTCTGGTTCAGGTGAATGTTGTTCAGTTGGTGGTCAAAGTTGACTTCTCCATTTCTGTCTTGATTTCTAAATGGAGTATTTGGAGATTTGCAGGAGGTTCTCACTGGGAAGCTGAGAGTGGTTTAGCAGGTAGAAGAAGCAGAAATAGAGAGAGGATGGGTCAGGTACTAGTGATGAGGAGAGTTTCCAACCAGGATGGAAGTAAGACTTAGGAGTATGTTCCAGTAGTTATAGAATCATGGAATTGTTTGGGCTGGAAGGGAACTGACAGATTATTTGATTCCAACCCCCCTGCATGGGCAGGGACACCTCCCAGCAGCCCAGGCTGCTCCAAGCCCCATCCAACCTGCCCTTCAACACCCCCAGGGCTGGGGCAGCCACAGCTTCCCTGGGCAACCTGGGCCAGGCTCTCCCGAGTGTCTCGTGTGTCTCTGATGTTACTCTCTGGGTTTCTCCTTAGGAAAGAAGAAGTCTTGCCCTGTGCTGAAGCCACATTAAACGGCCCTGCTTGATGCAGCAGCTGCAGTGGGACGGGTGACCCAGGCCAGGCTGCTACCCTGGTGATGCAATTTGTCCATTTCTTTTTTTTTTTGTTTTTGGGTTTTTTTTTTTTAATTTTTTTTTTTTCCATTTTAATTTTATTTTTTAATAAATGCTGCATTGATGAGAGAGCTGGCATCCAGGACCAGACACGCAGTTTCAACACCACCAATCTGTTCTGAAAGACACTTGCATTGTCTAAATGTAGCATTGCTGAGTTAGTCATCCCAGGAATGGTGGGTTCTTCCCAAGGAGCCTCTGCCTCATTTGAGTTCCTGTCCCCTCCCCCTCCACTCCCTCGGTTTTGTTTTGTATTTGGGGTTCAGTCCTGTTTTTCTTAGTGTTCTTGCACACAGTATTTCAGCTTCTCTTCAGAAAGGTAGCAGGTCCAACGCTGGGACTTGGACAGTGCACAGGAGTCCCACAGTGTGTGACCAAAGTTCCTGATGGAGCTGCCCCGGGGCAGCGTTTGCACCGCTTTTGTAGAGCAATAAAAGCCTTATCAGAAACATTTCATAGGAGGAAAAGATGCAAACACTTTACATGGGATGGAGCAGGGAGGGATTTGATTCTACCTTTTTGCTGGGGGGGGAGGGAAGTCGTTGATGCTGCCCCAAGCCAGAGGCCACGGAGCTGCCTGGAGCTGCCTGAGGAGCGGGAGGTCCCTGCGTTTCGGGGAACTGCCCAGTGCTCTGTCCCCTGGCAGTTCCCTGCAGGAGTGTGGGGCAGTTGGCAACTGGTCTCTGCTGTCCGAGCCATCAAGACTCCCCTTCCCCATGTCCTCCTCCCTGGAGTATGCAAGGAAGGCAGCCTGGTGGTTGCCAGCTGGGAGGAGAAGGAGCTACGGGGCCAGTGCCCGGTGGGAGCCAGGGCAGATGGGCACAAATGGCTCCTCAGGCCTTTGCTGGCTTCCTGGGAACTGAGGGGATTCCCAGTGATCGTGGAAATCCTTTTCTGTTTGTTTTGTTCTGTTTTTAAAGTTTTTAATGGATGCAGGAACAGCAACACTTTTGCACTTTGTACCTAGTGACAACATGGGGGTGACGTGGCCCGAGCACAGGACTCTGCTGGCACTGCCAGGCTGGGGCCACATCCTGCTGCCTGCATGGAAACAGCACAGAGACAGGACTCTGCTCACACTGCCTGGGGGCAAGGGCAGGTGAAGGTGTGTCCTTGGCTCTGGAGCCCAGGCTGAAGGACCTTCTGTAGAGCCCATCCCTGAGGTCTGTGCCCCAGGGGTGGGTGCTGGGCCACCTGCAGAGGCTGGGGCTGGTAGCAGCAGGTGACCACCACCAGTGCTCCCCTGCTTCTTCTCTACCCCCATAGCCTAGATCCAGAGCTGGGGCTGCTGCTTGGTGTGTGAGCTGGGTGCCCAAGTCCACCTGCCCTGTGCCCAGTGCTGCTTCTTTGAGTAGCCTGAGACCTGAGCTGGAAAATCGTTCTCTGGGGAATAACAGCCTGAAGCTTCACCCCCAGGGAGCCAAACAGCTGCTCTGCAGACACATCCCCACTTGTGCATATCAAGGGACTTACCCTGGGAGTGTGGCAAAGTACCTCTCACAGATCTGTTGCCCTGAGCAAAGGCCTCCCAGCCCCACTTGAGTCTTTCTTGAAAACCCTCTGTCTTTACCTGTGACGTGTCTGGTGCACCTGGGATGTTCTGAGCTGCAGTGGGAGGTGGGGGGGCCTGGGGAGGGGAGTGAGAGGAAAAAAATGTATTCACTGTTAGAATCAGGACCTGACAGCAACATCCCTGCAGCACAGGGTCACTTGGTGTGCCCAGAGATGGCACAGGTTGGGTTTTACTTGTAGGGA